TGTTAGTTCCATATGGCTCATACATATCTTAGTTTCTAATAACTAGGTTTGTTTAGACTATTATATTGATCTAGGCCAAAAACCTTTCGCTCAACATTGTTTTTCAAATAAGTTTTAAATAATCATTTTGAAAGGTAATTTTTATTTGGGGATCTATTCACGCCCCTATAGATCCGGTGCCGTAGTCTAACAAACTCAAGCTAGGCTTCGTACCAGACCAACATTCTTCTGGAGTAATTCCTTCCAACTTCTTCATCGGACATCTGTTTAGGATATATCTTGCAGTCGACACAGCTTCACCCCAAAACTCTTTAGGTAAATTATTTCCTTTCAACATACTTCTAACTATATTCACGATGGTTTGATTCTTCCTTTATGAAGTTCCATTCTGTTGTGGAGTGTAGGGTGGCACCACCTCATGTATAACCCCTTCTTTTTCATAAAATTTGTCGAAGCCTTATGACACATATTCTCCACCACCACCAGTTCTCAAAACTTTGAGCTTTAGATCACTTTTCCTTTTGACCATGGACTTAAATTTGGCAAATACCTTAACCACTTCACTTTTCTTCTTGATTAGGTAAGTCAATAGTTCAAATAAAATCATCCATGAATATAACAAAGTATTTCTTACCTCCATTCAAATCCACCTGGATTGGTCCACATATATCAGAGTATATGACTTTAAGAATAGCCTTCGACCTTCTTCCCGCATCCTTGCTAAAACTATTCTTGTGCTACTTCGCCTACACACATTCCTCACACACCTCATTTGGAATGTCAATTTTTGGCAATCGAGAAACCATATTTCTTCTCTTCAAATCTCTGATGTCTCTGAAGTTGAGATGGCCTAGTTGATAGTGCCATATTCATTCGTCTCTACTAGTTGTAGTCAAAAGGCACTGATTCTCCATCACATTAAGTTCGAACTTGAAGGTTTTATTCAGGGACATAGGATCCTTCAAGATTAATCTTCCACTTGCGTTGACGAATCTCATCATCTTTTCTTTGAATGATACTTTGTAGTTCTTTTCGACCAACTGCCATATGCTGAGCAAGTTACTCTTCATGCCTGGTATGTATAACACATTGGAAATTACTGAACTCTTGCCATCTTTCCTTATAATCCGAACATCACCAATACCTTCAGATGCTAGAGTATTGTCATTTGCAAATTTCAATGTGTTCTTCTTTGAGGGTTTCATGTTGACAAACCAATCTTTCCTTCCAAACATGTGTGATGAACATCTTGAATCTAAGTACCATTGGTCTTTGAATCTCTCTTCATCTCTTGTTGTAACCATTAACATCATCTCTTCTTCTTCATGCTTTATAAACTTTGCATTACTTTCTTGATTCTTTTGCTTTTCTGGACAATCACTCAAATAATGATCATACTTCTGATAATTGTAACAATGAATGTGACTCATGTCAGGTATTCGACCACCACTTTTTCCTCTATTTACAACACCACCTCCTTGTTTGCCTTGGTATGGTCTTCTCTAATTCAACATGTTTCCTTCGGTCTAGTTTTCTCTACAGTTAAATTATTGTACCACCTCTACCTCTATTAAACCACTTTCCTTTGCCTTTGGTTTCTTTTGCTGAATGTGCCTACAAATCCACATCATTCTTCGACTTGCCTGTACCTCTTTCACTCATTCTTTATTCATGAGATTCAAGCGTCCCTTGAAACTCTTCCTTTGTCAATTTCGACAAGTCTTTCCCTTCTTCTATAGCCACCACCATGTGGTCGAACTTAGGAGCCAAAGATCTCAAGATCTTTGAAACAACATCTCTTGTTGTTAATGTTTCCCCATATACCTCGATTTGATTCACTAGCTTTATAACCCTAGTAAAGAAATCAGATATGCTCTCACTATTTTCCATCTGAAGCAATTCATACGTTCTCTTGTGAGTTTATAACTTCACCTCTTTCACATTTTCTGCACCACCAAAAGTCTTCTTAAGAACCTCCCAAGCTTCTTTTGCAGATTCTGAATCACTCATTTTTTTGAAATTTTCTAGACTCAGACATTGATGAATTATGAAGAGTGCTTTACAACTCAGCTTTTATGATTCTGTGTGTTTCTTCTTTTCTTCTTCTGAAGCATTTTCTCTAAGCACTTCTAATCCATCCTTTACAAGAACCCAAAGACCCCGTCACCTGAATAAAAATTTCATCTGTTTTCACCAATTCTCATAGTTTTCTACTTTCAGAATTGGTAGAGTTACTGGATAATTCGAATTCCTATAACTCACTGCCATTGTAAATTCTTATTCTTCCTCAATCGTTCTTGATCGGTACTTCCCTTGAATCGATTAACTGGAGCTCTTGATACCAAATGTTGGAAATCCATCAATTATCTATGATGAATTTATACCAATCTTGATGAACAAGATTGATATCACCATACAATGATAATGGATTATATGAAAAGAAAAAAAATAAAGAAGACAATTATTTTCTGCAGAGTTTCTCTCTGCCCATAAACTGCGGAGAACTTTATTATTCACTTGCAATTGCAAATTATGTGAGTACAATGAATTGACTTGCTTGATTACAAAAATATGGGTTATTCCCTCTATTTATAGATTTAGATTAGCTTGCTCCCTAAGTCAAATCCCAAAACTATAAAATCCCAAAATACTTATTTTGGATATAAATCAAACCTATCCATTTTAGATCTAAATCAAATATATTTAAATCTAAAACTAAATCAAATTTGTGTGCAACATTTTCAATACACTATACTTCGACACTTCCTTGTCTTTGTCGAGCAAACTACTTCAACACAAGGAATTACTTTTAACACATATTAATAATTAATTTTTTTACAATAGTCAGAATGCAGATATATGCCTTAGGTAATGAAAAAAAATTCACATATCATATATTTTCTAAAATAAAACCACTCTAAGCATTATGATACGGTCATCTTGAAAACATATAAAATAAAATATGGAGTTAACTATTGAAGATAACAAATTGATAGAGGTCCAAATTAAATTATTCTTATGAAGAAAATAAAAACTTACCATGATCAAAATGGAAGATTCAACTTATCCAAAAAGAGAATGAAAATTCTACAACATTTTTAGAACAAATAATAGCCCTTTAATATTTTCTATAATAAAAGAAAATGGTATAAACATGTTTAAGGAACCTATCATTTACATCACACTTTTGCTGCCAATGATAATTTATAATAAAAAAATATGTATTTAGCCCCACTTCATGTCAAACGAGACTAAAACCAGCCAATTATGCGCATAACAAAAGTCTCAAACATATACTAACAATTAAAAGTGGAATCACATAATAGCAAAGATCATAGTATGGATCGATAATCAAATGTTTTCTGATACACAAGATCCTTATTTTGAGGTAAGTGTATAACATTCTTGCATCTCAATGGGAAATTATGATATGAACATAATATAACTAAAACTTTTAGATAGAAAGAAATATTTTTAAAACATGTTTGTTCTTTAGCACGCAAGTTTTATTTCTTATTGTTTCTACCTTAAACTTATACAAGAAGTCCCCTTTTATTGATAAGGAGATTCAGAAAAGACAAAAACAACACTATTTACAAGCATGCCATCTTAAGTATTATTGGAATGCCATTTTTTTTAAAAGTTTGACAAACTTATCACTTATAGATAAATAATTGTAGTATTATTACATAAAAAGACACAACACCACTATTCATAAACATGCTTGTGACACATAAGAGACACTTGTTCAATTTGTCTTTAATGTTGGGCTCATGACTTAGAGACATATTCTGATCGGATAAGTATTCTTATGAAAAGTAACCCCGATAAGGAGGTGACTCATATTTCCATGTGTCATCCTCCATTTTCCTTAGGGTCTCTTCCACACGACTTTTCGATGGCTCAACATCCATTGAAGAATTTTGTCTCTGATGTGAAGCCTGACCCAAGCTTTCTCCAAAATCTTGTATCCTAATATTTCTGTGACTTAGTTTTATTTCTTTATGATAACGAAGATTGATGAAATTGTCATAATTCATTAATTTCATTGTAACTTTTAAACTTGGAGGATAATCATAAATAGTTTATCATAGATCAGTATATATGAGAAGATTAGTTAGAGGATCTATCTAATATGGTAGGTGTAGGATAAAAACTCTCTTGGGTTCGCCAAAATATTCTAAGGCTAATCTTATTTCCTTGACTTTGTGTAGGACTTGTTTTAATTGTTTCCTCCACCATTCCAATAGAGAATACAATTCAAGAGCAGTCCAGATTAAAGACTCGTGGTTCTTCAGATCTATTATATGGTTATGTATGACTTTAGTTGGGACAAGAACATTTATAACATATAAACTGGACGCACATCAAAGATACCATAAATGGTTATTTGTAAATTTAAAGTTCAGGTTTATTATGAATGGTAGAAGAAAAGGTGTGTATGGGAAGTAAGGGGTGTGATCTAGGCGTTTCCTTCTTATAATCTTTGTCATGAAATAAAAAAAGATTATTTCTGGCATATTCTTTGAGTTTGGATGGTAAGGAGGACAAATCTACACTGGGAGGAAGATTCTTAGTTGTAGATACATGGGTTGGAAGGGGTTTGATCATAAGAATCATAGAAAAGTGTGCTTGGTAGTAATGATCTGGATGGGTTTCATAGGCCTAAAAAGAAAATCAGGGATCATATTTTGAGTTCCTTTGATATGTTTTACAATAAAATATTATCTTAAAAACCAATATTTGAGCCTATGTGTTTGAGGATCTGGAGGCAGTTTATTTTTAAATTCAAGGATCTTAGGAAAAGAGGAGTTATCCATCTAGACTTTAAATAGATGGCCTCTCAGGTGAAAGTAAAATTGTTGGATACCCAACTTAACTACAAGAGCTTCCTTATAAGTGGTATGAAAATGTTTTTTAGCTTCTTTGAATTGACCACTAGTATGACCGCATTAATACTTTATCCCATCAATTTCTTCTATTAATATGGCTCCCTAATAATGATCACTGGAAACAATTTGAGATTCTTCTACCGTTCCCCAGGATTTTTTAAGGCATATGGAGTTTGTGTGATCTTCTTCAAATCTCTTACGGCTTCAGTTTACTTTGTTCCCCATGGTGGTGGTTTTTTCTTGAGCAATTGGGATAGAGGACACACATATCTCGTTAGTTTTGGCAGGAAATGTATAACATAATTAATTATACCAAGAATTTGGTGAATTGGCTTAACTGTGAGATTTTCATCAGGAAAGTTTAACAATTCTTGAGCAACATGAGGATGAGGTTTGTATTTACCTTGGGAGATGTGAATTCCTAGAAAATCAATTTCTGTTTGGTCTAAATGTATTTTCTTTCCAGAGATCATCATTCCATCCTTTTGTGCTATTTGAAGGAATTGGACCAATAATAGTTTATAAGCCTTTTCTTCTTTTGAGAATAATAACACATCATCAATATATATGAGGATAGTATTGAGAATGGGCACACAAATTCTAGTCATGACCTTTTGAAATAGAAATGGATCTACCTTAAGCCCAAATGGTATTCCATTGGTATCGAGCATTAGGAATTCAGAACCCCTTTTTGTAACGGTCTTTAGGGTCAATACCTAATTGCCGTAATCGCGACTTTAGATCAAACTTGGAATAGTTATGGACATCTTTGATGAAAACATTTTAGGATGAGCCTTTTGGAATGGAGAATTTATCATCTTTAAGAAAATTATTTAGAGGTTTGTAATCAATTACTAGCAATTTTCCCTCTTACCATTTCAGATCTTTTCTCCACATAAAATTCTTGGAAAACCCACTCACATTTAGTGGGTTCAATTAGACCTTTTATGAACTATTGGTTGCTTTCTTCCCTAGCTAATGTATAATTTGATGGACTCATTCCCGGATGAGTGGCCTTGGTTGGATTAACATCTTCATTGAGTTTGAAAGGAAGTTGGACAAAAAGTCTTCATTTTTTCATACAGGTTTTGGATAGAGGAATTTTTCATGGCTATCTGCATAAAGCTTGAGTAATTTGTACTTTATTTCTTCATATCCAGCATGGATTTTGAAAAAATAATATAGTTTCGTTATTCCATAATAGAGTTTGAATTCTCTTTTGAATTTTATCCCGATGGGGAGGATTTGGAGTCTGTTTGCTACCGAGTAGACATATATTCCTACAAAGTATATTTATTTGGAAGATTATTGCCAATGACCTTTGTTTAAATAATGCATTTTGAGAAGAATTTGATTCCTATCTTTTCCTTGGTCATTAAATCCGTCCTAAAAAGTTTTCTATCTGCTGCTACAAAGTATACAGCATGTGTGATCTATGATTCCGTTGGGAGGATGCTTGGTTTCATCATTGTAACTTGGGCCCCAATATCCATATAAGTTATAACTTTCTTAGGGCAGGAAAACTTTGATGCGAGGACATGAATTTCTTCACAAATTTGGGTGTTATACCATAATTTTTACCCCTAAGATCACTCATCATTTTGCATCTTTGCAATACATCAAGATCATAACTTTGGGGTGCCTCTCACTTTTGCTCCCTTTCCCCTCTTTAAGTTTACCTTTGAGGGATCACCAAACACCCGTTTGTGTATATTGTAATTACATGCTTTATGTTTTACTAACATATAATCAAAATACAAAAAATATTTGCTTTATTTCCCTTTGTTTTGCAAGAACAAGTGTGAACCAAATGGATCAAACAATCTCCCTTGTTGTACCCCAAAATTTGCCCTCCTAATTGCACTTATATTTGGCTTAGGCTTAACATCAAATTAATATATTTTCATTAGGTTACTAACATGGAATACATTTTGCATTTCAATAAGAGCACATGGGGTCAATGTTTGGTAGTTGAGATATATCAGGGGTCTCATAGTGATTAAAGTGCATATGTCTGGTAAAGATGATTACCTCTAACTTTTCTGGTTAGTCTGCAAGCAATGGAGCATGGATTATAGTTTTGTTATGGTGTTCTATAACAATTCTTGGGCTTCTAGAGGTTATTTATTTTGTTGTGAAGTAATTTGTTTTTAAGTTAATGTGACTAGTGGACCGATTCACAAGGTAATTTGATTATGAAGAATTGGAGTTAGGGGTTGAGGATTTATCAAGAACATCAAAATTTCTTAAAGTGCAAGAAATAGTTCATGGCTCATTTCAAATGCAAGAAACAAGATTCGAAGGGGCAAGACATTTTCATTCATCCTAATGCCATCCAAGTGTTCATTTTGGTGTAATTTGGGAAAGTGGGTTAATATTCCAAAATTCCAAAGTTTCATTCAAACTCTTGGATTCAAGCTTATTCATGGGTTGATTTGGGATATTTTATTCAACTCCAATCGCAAGTCTTAAGTAGCTTCCATTAACACTTAAAAATTCTAAACCAGTTCATGGTATCATATCTCCACATTACAAAATCAAGGGTTGTAAACCAAAAAGTCAGGATCCATCCAAATATTTCAAAGAATATTCAAGTTACAAAATATATTACAAGTAATTTATAAGATTTACATGGAAATTTAGTCCTAATCCTAATCTTCTAAGTCAAGACAGACCCAAACAAATGGTGCACTAACAGGAACATCTCCAATCGACATCAAATTGTCCTCCTACTACTGAACTGGGTGCCATATCAGGCTTACATAACATGCACAAAACCTGTTGCATCAGTTGCAAATCCATGTTCACATTACAATAATAAGTTCAAACAGTCGCGAGCTGTCACGTATGCCCCAAAAGAAGCATTTCATCATCACTTCGACAAGCTTAAGACATATAACCTGCATCACATGACTTAGCAAGAGAAAGGTAACAAACACGATATCTATCATTCCATCTGTTAGTAGCTTTCACCCATTTTCCAAAAGTACAATAAAGCGAAAGAAAATGCCAAAAGTAAATATCAGGTCCAGAATCTGCGCATGAGTATTTGCAACCCTGCATATATTCAGAAAGAATAATAATGAAAGAATTTTCTAATGAATCGTCCTGTATTCATGCATAAAATCAAGCCAGTTTCATTACAAAAAAAGAAGATACCTCAGAGGAGTACTACTGCCATATCTGTTGTTGCTTCAATATGCTATGCTCACTTGGCTGTTTCTCCAATTGGACAGTTCATGAAGATTGAAGGATAGGTCTGAAACATCAACAACTCTCGGTGGAATAAACAGGTCTCCTGTCTCATGGCTTCCAAATACTTATTGACATGCTAATAGATATGAACCAGATGGAAGAAGCTGCAACTACAGCTGGGCAAGAATTATCAGCATTTGAGAGTGAGCGATGCCCTATTGACCAACATTCTATTCATCTTATACAAATTAGGGATCCAAGTATAGATAAAATAGCCTTAGAACCTGAGGTCAGGATTAAGGATACTGAATAAGAATTGGATCCCATTCAAAAATTACAGAAGAACCAAAGACGTGATAGAGATCGCAGAAAATAGTAAAAGTCAGGAAATCAGGAAGTACGATAAATATTTTCAAGCTCATACTAACTATCCATAAATGAATTCAAAGATATGTAGCTAACCTCTATCAATTCCATCTCACTCATTCCTTTTATAATAACCTGTTGTGGCAGTATGCTTCAGTCAGAATAAAACCTGCAAGTCCAATAACCTAGAACAATATAATTTCATCTCATTATGCAGTCACCAGATACAAATCAATTGCAAGCTCAATGCACACATAAAAAAGGAATCAGAAGGTGAATTTAGAATTCCCAACATATGTAATAGAATTTCTCAACGCTATAACTATAAAAGCAGAATTCTAAGCTCCTAACCAACCATAACTACCCTTAACCGATTCCATAACTGTAAAAACAGAATCCTAGTTAACCAATAACTAACTCTCATAACAGATCAATCCTAACCCTTCATGCTTGTAACTAACTATTGAGATCTAAATCCCAGATTGATTCAGCTGTAACTAACTTCTTCCTCATCAACCCCTATATAATACTTCCACTCTCACCTTCAACCGGGAGCTTCCCTTCATTCCTCAACTTCCACTCTCACCTTCAACCCTCCACCTTCATCTTCTTCTGCTACCTTCTTCTATCAATTTTACTACCTTCTTCCCTCAATTCTTCTACCTTCTTCTCTCAATTCTGTAACCTTCACTCCTTAATTATCTTCCAGCCTTTACAACACCTCAAGCCACTCTTACCGCACATCAACGCTTCATACCAATCATCGCACATTCTCTGCAATATTGTTGTTCTCAGTATTTTGGTTATCCACTCTTATCAGAAAAGGAAGAACAAGAATACGTAACAAAGAGGGTCGAATTGGAAGAAGATTGAGAAAGGTGAGAAGTGAAGAATCGAGTAAAATATGCATACCGATGCTTTTGGAAATCATTCTCTGGTCTTTTCATCGCCTTCACCGCGTCTGAACACCGTCAGAGTGTCTCTGGCAGGTAATCCTCAATCTCCTCCATTTCTTCATTGTTTTACCATTTCTTGATATCGTTGGAAAGCTTGATGCCTACTGAGCAATCATCTTGTTGTTATCACTTCAATTCAACATGATTTTCGGTTAATTTTGTCCTTTTTCTTCGCTTAGGGTTTCAATTTATTAGGGTAAGATATTGCTTGTAGCTTAGAAATAAGAGAGAGATCAAGGTTAGGGTTTGAATTCAGGGAGAAGAGAGGAATTTAGAAATGTTAGTGCCGTCCCTTTCTTCATGGAAAAGCCCCTCCGGAGGCAATTACATGCGATGTTGTTGGTTTAAGACTAGGGTACAAAAGAGATGACGAAGAACAACTGTGGGTAAGGGTCCCTATTCGTTGGGCTATGGGTCACTATCCTAAAGCCCAATAGCAGAATGTTAAGCTCCCATCCCGTGTACTTTTTTATAGCATACTAAGAAATTTTTTTCTTTCCTAGAACAAATGTATCTCTTGGGCTGTGTTAACTGGGCCTGGGTGCCCAATTATGAGATGATACCCCCCAGATTCAGATTCGTCACCCTTATTTCTTTTGTTTTCTCATGAATTTTCTTTTAATTTTTTAGTACTCATTTTTTTTTAGTAACAAAAATACATAGATAAAAATAGTCAAAATGGGACAATAAAAATATATATACTAGAATTTAGGATTTAAATAGGAATTTATTTTCTCCCTCTTACTAATCTTTTTTTAGGCGATTTTAGTCACTAGTTTTAATTCATTATTTATGTTGTATATTCTTTTTCCACCTTTGGGAATTATCTTGATGCGAATTATGGACGATTTTATTCTTATCCTCCGTTAGGATATTAGTCCAGTTTTAATCCATCGATTAAAATTGAGTTAAATAAACTTTAGGTTGTAATCCAAGCATGTCAATTTAGGATAGAGGTTTCCCTTCAAAACTGAACTTTAGGATCAATCATTGTATGACAACATTAGGGATAGATTCAGGTTAGTCTCTCCTTATACTTTTCATTCCCCTTTTGCATTTGCATTAAAACAAAAACTTCTTTTTCTTGCAAACTTCAAAACACCTAAAAATTACTGATGAGAATTATGTCTTTGTTGAGCATGGGAAATGATAAGCGGGTCTCTTCTCGATCTTATATTTTTTCCATTCTGAGCCTTGGTATGGTTCAAGTCCCAAAGACTTATTTCATAAATAAGTGGAGAAGTGGTTAGAATCTCTCTGTGATACGATGGGATAACTGACTTGAGGTTTTGCGTTTGTGTTCGCAAATGTTTCGATTTAGCACGAGTCGCCACTGACTTTTTATTTTATCCTAAGTAAAGGTCAAAAAGCACAGGAAAGACCTTTGAGATGTTTTCTTGGGTTTGTGGAGTAGATTATAGAAAGGGAAGGTATTAGAACCCTTTCTATCCATGGTTATCCATGGGCTCTTAGTTACTTGTTTAGATCACTTGCTTTGATTTTCAATTGTTTGAAATGGTACTCTTCAATTGTTTGAAATGGTGCTTTGTGTGTGGTTTTGAAAGATGTTTTGAAAAGAGGCCATCGTTGTGGCAACCTTTGTAATGATTCTTGTTTGAATGTATACAAAGGTGTTTTTTGTCTTTTGAAAAGTTTTCAATGTTTGAAAGTAGGGTTTTGGATTTGTGTGGTGAAGTGTGTTTTGAAAACAGCAAGGATGCTTTTGCAAGCTTTGATCAAGTAACTAAGAGCTATCTACCCTATTTTACTCAAAGATCTTTCTTATTTTTTTTAACCCTTTTAACAGTGTTGTTTCACCATTGTATTTGGTGAACAAACTTGTGTTAGGATGTTAAACGGGACAGGCGCGGGTCATCGTATAGACCATGATAGCAATTGTGTCAAGTATTTTTTGGCAATTTTCTTAAGGGACTTGATCATTTTGTTTAGGCAACCTAGATATCGTCATCGAGGGACTATGATCTTTTGTTTTGTTTTTGTTTTGCCCAAAGTACTTGACATGCATACCATGGCCTATTTTTGAAGGCAACAAGTGGATTGTAACCCTAGGGGTGCAAGTGTGCATTGTGTTTGTTTTTCATGCATTTTTGTCTTTGATTAGGTCAAACTATTTGTTGGTTTTGATTTTGCATACAAACCCTAATTCTCTAATCATGGCATACTTGAAAGCATTTAAGTGCGTAAAAATAAATCTAAGCTATTACAACTTGATATAGGGAGGGGGGTACAATTTTGAATAAGGGGGTATTTGACAAGAAATATAAAACCCTAATTACTATTACATCCAAATTGAATTCTTTGTGCAAATAAAATAAATGGGCAATATTTAATTAAACAAGATAAATAAATTTTAAAAAAAATATATTATGCAAAAAAAGAGTTTTTATTTATTCATGTATGCAAAAAGTATTTTTAATGTAAAAGGTATAAAGAAATAAATAAAGATTAATTTTATTTGTTTTTAGGGCAAAAAACCCTAATTTCTTAAGAAAATAAATATAATGTATTATTTATGTACAAAAATATATTAATATGTATAAAAATGAAATATATCCAAAAAAGGTAATTTTTAGTATAAATAATAATAAAAATAAAAATATAATATTTTTGTGTTTTATTTCTAAGTATTTAATAAAACAAAAGTATATATATATATATATATATATATATATATATATATATATATATATATATATATATATATATATATATATATATATATATATATATATATATATATATATATATATATATATATATATATATATATATATATATATATATATATATATATATATATATATTAAATATGTTAAGTATTAAAATTTTTTTTTTTTTACAAAAATACAATATATTCAAGAAAATATTTTTGGTGTAAATAAAAAAGGAAATGAAAATAAGAGTATTATTTACATTATTTTCAAGTTTAAAAAAAAATAATATATGTATTTAAATTGTTGTTTATATTAGGAAAAATTAAAATAAAACATCTAATAAATGAAAAAAATTGTGAAAATATTTTTAGAATATTTTTTATATTTGAAAATAAAATATCAAAGTCAGAAAAGAAATTAAAATGCAAAAATAATGAAAATACAAAGCAATGGGCCAGGGTGTGCTGAAAGTAAGCTGGGAGGTGTTGGAAGCAAAGAAATCCAGGCCCAGCCCAGACTTCATCTTCAACCTCCAGAAATTTGAAAAAATGCGCGTATGCCTGTACAAACTTGTATCTCCTGTATTTGTGATCTTTTGACAAAACTCAAAACATGAAACTTGTAGAGCATCAAATCACGAATCTAACCATATAAAAAACTTAAGCTAACTCTCAAAGACCGGAGAGAATTTCTCTGGCCCTAATTTCTAACCTAGTTTTTTCAGAAAATTCATGGATGTAATTCTCCTAGCACGATTAATATAAATGAAAACTGAGCATATGTATGGTTTAAGGGCAATGAGTACAACATCTTTCATTCCCAAACCTAAGGCTAAATGTTCCTAAATAGAGAGATAGAAGTTCATGAAATACCTTTTTCAGTTGAGTTCGAGTTGGCCAATACAACAACTTTCATTGGGGCCTGAGGTTCTTTTAAGCTTGCTTGATGTCCCCTGAACCTTTCCCAATGCTTAGTTTGTTTTGAAGCGGCCTGAATCGTGCTACAGAACTCAACCTGCAAAGCTTCCAAAAAAACTGGTTATGTGTGTAAATGGAGTTACAGCAGCTTGTGAATGATCTGGACAGCTTAGGTGTATTGTTTAGAATGTGTTTGAAGTGATTTTGGACAAAACGCACGAGGGGATTTGATTGTGGCTTGTGATTTGTAGAACTGGTCCTGTTTTGGGCAGAAATGGAGATTTTGTGCACAAGGGGGTTAGAGAGGTCAAAGACTCGTGTTTCTGGCTTACAAGGATATGAGAAACTTGTTTGAATACTTTGCTTGAGTTCAATATATCAGATGTGAGAGTTATGAGC